GGCAGGATAACAATGGAGGCTCGTCCGGTTCAGAGAACAGGTTCTAGAGAGCTCAGTAACCTCGTTCGCACTTCTTCGATTCCATCTACACCAAACACTTCAGCAGCGGAAGGTCAATTGATGTCGAGGCCGCTAGGACAAACCTACCATTTGCTTTCCTCTAGTAACGGTGGAGCAGTCGGACATATATGTTCTTCGTCATCATCGGGATTCTCAACCAATCTCCATTACTCATCTATGGTTTCTCATGAGAAACACTACTCGGGAAGCAGCAGTAACGCTGTTTCAAGCAACGATAGTTCTTGGTGCCATGATTCATTACCGGGAGGGTTTCTTGATTTTCCTGAAAACCACCCGGCCGGCATTCAGAACAACAGCCAAATCGAGGAGGGTGGCATCACTGAGGCGTTTGATGACATTCAAAAACGAAGTGACTGGCAAGAATGGGCTGATCACTTGATCACCGATGAAGATCCTTTACTATCTACTAACTGGAATGATCTCTTGCTTGAAACCAGTTCCAATTCAGATTCAAAGGTTGTTAAATATTTCTCTTCCATTTTATACTTTTCTTTTGATTCCGTATTCTCATGTTTTTTAAAAGTTGAACACTATTTTAGGAGAAATCACTGCAAATCACACAACCCCAGATTGCTCAGCAGCAACCTTCTCCGTCTGTGTCTGTGGAATTGCGACCTGTCAGCACAACATCTTCAAACAGTAATAACGGAACAGGCAAAGCACGTATGCGTTGGACGCCAGAGCTTCACGAGGCTTTTGTTGAGGCTGTCAACAGTCTTGGTGGCAGTGAAAGTGAGCATTTGTTTCTCTCTGCTTTCCATAAACTCTGTATGACAGATGGAAAGATGCTAACTTTTTTCCTTCGGGTTAACTCATATTTTACGCAGGAGCTACTCCTAAAGGTGTGCTAAAGATTATGAAAGTTGAAGGTTTGACTATATATCATGTCAAAAGCCATTTGCAGGTTCTTATTAATCTTTTTTCCTCCCACCATTTGTTTCCTTCTGCGAAATGCATAGAATTGTCTTTTAGTAAAAGATGTTTGGTTTATGAACTGCAGAAATATAGGACGGCTAGATATAGGCCAGAACCATCAGAATGTGGTAGATACCGAGTCATTCCTATTTTTATTTCTTTGACGATTTCCCTGAAAATTCCATAGGATTCAGTTCAAAATTACTTTTCTTTGATCACTACAGGTTCGCCAGAGAGGAAGTTGACACCTCTTGAACATATAACATCTCTTGATTTGAAAGGGTAAGCTTTTCTTTGTCTGGTAACATCACAAGTACTACACCATTTTTAACAAATTCTCACCTTGTAAATATTTATACTACAGTGGGATAGGTATTACAGAGGCTCTGCGACTTCAGATGGAAGTACAGAAGCAACTCCATGAGCAGCTCGAGGTATGTCTATCGATATTCATAATGGCATTACCTTTAGCTTGGTTTTTTATGCTTGGGTGGGAGCTTTTCATTTCATGTGTTTCGATGGTAGCTGCAAAGAGTGAAAAGGCGAGATATGATCTGAAAAGCTATGAGTTTGGATCAAAATGTTTATAGTCTTCTGTCCCTGCAGATTCAAAGGAACCTGCAGCTCCGGATAGAAGAACAAGGAAAGTACCTGCAAATGATGTTCGAGAAACAAAACTCGGGTCTTGCCATAGGGACAACCTCAACATCAGATTCCGCAGCCAAATCAGAACAAGAAGACAAGAAAGCTGCTGATTCAAAGGAGCTCGCAGCAGAAGAAACTAGGAAATGCCAGGAGGAGCCAGAATCTCCGCAGCCAAAACGCCCCAAAACCGACAATTGAAAGAATCTCTCTGCTAAGAATTGGTGTTTTGCTGGATCAATTCAGAGTTAAAACAGTGAGAGAGAGCTCTCTTCTCTAGAGGTTCTTCAGGACTTCTCTCTCTACTGTAACTATTTTTCTGATGGAAGACTCTCTCAATCTGCTGTGTAGACAAACAACAGATCCTTAAAGAAAAAAACCTAAACAAAAAAATAAAGAGTTTGTTTGAGAGAATCTTCACCATTCGAATGTAATCTAAATGCTCAATTCATCTTTAGTTTACAGATAACTAGAATATTAAACTTTCAAGTCTTTCCTCCATAAAATTCCACTCTTTTTATGAATCTGGCTGACAAAATTAACCTCACCAAAACCTATTTAAATTCTCTTTTCAATTGTGTATTACATAATGTTTATAAACTTGACATCAAATGAGATACCACACATACATCTTTACATCTTATATTCATCTATATAGAA